TCAAGTAGTTTTTTGGACAAGTACTTTTACTCTACTCACACTACATTTTTTGGAAGGTAATGGTACTTTTACTTGAGTATATTTTTTCAGTACTCTTTCCACCACATCTTATTTGTAATAATGTGTTTCTTTGTCATGCAGCCAGAGGGCAGCATCCTAAAAGGCAGATTTAAGAGTTTACAGAAGAGAAACATTGAGGCCAGAGAAAGAGCCAAGTAAGTTCAGTGTTTTACTGCTTTATTTGTATAAAATCAATGAAGATGTTAAAGTGGTGTTAGCTGCAATGATTTTGGTTTAATTTCCTTTTTTTTTTTTTTATAAATTTTCCTGTTCTTCTTTCAGGTTTAAGAGGAAGTACAAGCTGAAGTACTCAGAGAAGAGGGCCTTCAGGGAGATACAGTGACCGCACAGTTATGTTTCCTTTCAGTCCTCCAACAAATGATGGTGTGCTATTTGTTGCAATAAAAAAAAAAAGTTATATTCCAATAACCCCCTGTCTCGACGGTGTCCTGTTGTTGCCATGGAGATAAAAATGGTATGAAGTACACTTTAAAAAAAATTAAATTATTTTTTTAAATCTTAACATTGTTGTAACAATTTAAAATGCTGAATAAAAATGTATTTGTGTGATAAGTCTACACCACTCACTGAGTATGAGGAGGTGGTGGATTGTTTCAGTCCCATTATCCCCTGCCGGGGAAACGAGGGCTTTTCCCCCTTGCTTCTCCCCTGGTATGTGCAGGCAAAGCTGATTATCATGCAATCATGGGTGGGAATGTAATCTTACCTAAAGAGACGTCTTCCCTGGTCATCATCTCCTCTCTGATCCTTGCTGTCCGCCGGAGCGTCTCTCCAGTTAATCCTGTTCTGTTGCACATGCCAGGTTCACCTCAGCGAGTTCCTATTAAGCTTTTTATATCTGTGAAGGATGTTTATGACAGACACAGTAATTTAATTTATAGAGGTGCTTTGTCATTATAATCTCTTCCTAAATAATTTAAGCAGTGCCAGTCCTACACTTCTGAGGGCCCTAAGCAAACGTTTGTCAGGGGGCCCCTGTCAATGCATTCATAAGAACCCCAAAATGACCCCCAACCATGTAAACTGGCTTGCTTATTTGAGAACACTTAATATTTGGCAATGGTTTTGACTTGTTTGCCCAGACACTATTGAAAGAGAGCTGAACTGAGCTGGATGATGACATCACTGAATCCACAATGAACTGACTTTAACTGAAAAATTGACTGTTACTATTGTGCTCTTTTTAGAGCTGCTTTAAAGCAGAATTTAATTGTGTTTGCATTGAAACATTATTGTCCTCTTTAACTCTGTAAAGCTGCTTTGACATAATCTGAATTGTATAAAGAACTATATGAGGTGACTTGACTTAACCTGATCTTTCAGAGAAGTTGAAACTGTAATCCTATTTCCTTAGCCATCTTCAAGAAACGGCTAAAAACACATCTCTTCAATCATCATTTGACCCTCTAAGAAAGAATAAAAACACTTGACCCTCTAACACTTGCGCTCTCTATTCGTTTGACTTTTTTTTATTTTTATTTAAAATAAAAAGACCCTCTAACACGTTCCCTGTTTTTTTTTTCTATCCTATCTACATGTTTTTCTTTCTTTTTAACAAAAAAAAACAAACCTTTGCTACGTGTCCTGCATTAGGCTAACCGAGACTTGTCACAGCACTTGACTATTATTGCCCTTTTGTTGATTTTGATTGCTTCTATTGTCCTCATTTGTAAGTCGCTTTGGATAAAAGCGTTTGCTAAATGGCTAAATGTAAATGTAACAGTCAGTTATACAATTAAAAAGAAGACAATTACAAATAATTGAATAATCAAATGTAAAAATAAAACACTGTATGCACTGCCATTAATTCATCTTCACCATATGAATTATATAAACAGTACAATGATTGCTATTAAAGTTACTAGCTATTCAGAAGAGCAGAGAACAATTCTCGTTTTCTTTTGTTTAAATAACATTAAATGACAGAGACAGCAGGAGGTTTATTAGGATGCTTTCACTGTAAGACCGAATGCACAGATCTAATATACTGACAAGCATTTGATTACTTTCCCAAATGTATGTTTACTAAAGACATAACCGACTGCATTCAAGTGAAAACTCGCCAAGACGGACATTTTGGTATATTTTTGTGTGTATTTATCCGTTTAAGCAAACGCCTGAAGCCCAAAGTAGCCTATACTTGTCCGTGTGTCACTCTGTCTCAGATCCCACAGAGAAAGCCGCCTGGGGAACAGTGTCTCTTTCAAAGCTCAATCCACTTTTAACTCTTTTTAACCAGCAGGTCAGACAGGAGACTTTTTATTATGACAGTGACATAACTTTTCATTTTTTACTGACTTGGATGTTACGTAGGAAGGGCGACAGCCAGGGGCGCAACTGCACATTTGCTGAGGGGTATGCAAGATCAGTGTTGGCGCCCCCCTCTATTCTAGCCCCTAAATCAAACTCCCACAGCAAACTTTCTGTAAGTTAATGACCAAAAGCCCATTAACTAGCTTGGGCATGGAAGGATACAAACTCATCAGGGGTGAAAAAAGTGACAAAGGTACAAACCCCCTCCCCCATTTTCAATACCATAAAAGGTAAAAGTGAGAAGAAAAAAAAAAGGAAAGTGTGTTGTATAACATCCCCTTTAACTCCTGAGAATAGAATGGTTCCATAAGAATGGTTCTGTGTCTGGCCTGTTTGACTGCCTGTGTGACATAAAATGTTGGATGGACATGAACTTCTTACAGCTAAACAATGACAAAACCAAAATTGTTATCTTTGCCCCACCAGATTTGACCTCTGACATACTTAATCAGCTTGGTTCTCTTCTCATCCATCTTCAAATGTTCATGACTGTGTCAAAAATCTTGGTGTCATTTTTGATTCGAATTTTAGTTTCGATAAGCAGATTAGTGCTATTGTTAAAAGCAGTTTCTTTCAGCTAAGATCTATTGCCAAAATCAAAATGATGCTTTCTAAGAAAGACCTTGAAACTGTTATTCATGTATTTATCAGCAAGATGGCGCCGCGGATGGCAGCCATGGTTTGTCGCTACTTGGTACTTGTACTTTTTTTGTTTGTTTGTCCTGTCTTAAGCAATTTTTTCCCGATCAGCTTTACTAGGAACGAACTCCTGGACATCAGAAATAGCACACCAAATAACTTTCTGCCGACATTTGAGCATTCAGATGTTTTACTGGACATTTTAGTCGGAGGAGCTGCGTTCCTATACAAGCGCTCCAGGCGACGCAAACGAGGAAAGCACGCCGGCGCGCTCGTGAAACTCTGTCAGCGCGGTTTTAGGACTCCGCTGCCGAG